AGGCATATGTAAATGTATATTTAATTCTTCCTCTCTTAGGACCTTCCTTTGTATTTTTGTTCCTATTTCATCAGCTCAACTCACATTAATGTTCAACCCCCGTTTACATTTTTATAGAGGCATATGTAAATATATATTTAATTCTTCTCTTAGGACCTTCCTTTTTATTTTTATTCCTATTTCATCAGCTCATTTAACTCACATTAATGTCCCATTATTTGCAATGTTTAATTGCTTAAGCTCCTCAAATCAGTTTCCTGAGTGGCCGAATTAGTCTTTCTGGCCAGGTGCCCCTTTTTGTTCTCGTCGAGTGAGTTGTTGCAGGTTTGTTGATCAAGTCTTTGCTGCTTCATTTGTGGTGAGACTTAAGTTGTAAGATACATGAAGACTTAATTTTTTTTTTTTTGAGGTAAAGGAATGTTGGTGCCAGCTGTATATAGACAAACCAGGAAGGGTGTGCTTGCAGCTTCCCACCCTGAGGTGTAGTTAGACACTAAAAAATTGCTTTTTCCTTGGAGTTAGGACTTTCCCCTTTCATTCTTTTCCCATTATTTCTACCATGCTGCCATGTCCTTCAGATAGCTCTTCTAGTCAATAGTGTTAAATAGTCCCATAGCTAAATTGTTCTTTACAGTTTAGAGATCTGTTTCTAAGATAGTGTTGATGTTCACTGTAGTGTCTGATATTTGTAACTTCAACGTTTTAGGCGTTTAAAGATACTGGCAAAGCACCTGTGGAACAAGAGGTGGCGATTCATCGCATTAGAATCACTTTGACGAGTCGCAATGTAAAATCACTGGAGAAGGGTGAGTAGTGCTTCTCTGCTTACTTGGGTAGCTTGTCAAGTAATGAATAATAGGTGCCATGTAAGGCATTGCAAAATACAATGTATTGAAACCAGTTGTAATTAAAGATGTTGCTGTTTGCCTTTCTGTACATGCCTCGGCTCGCAAAGCCAGCCCAAAGTGCTTCATACACCAGAAAGCAAATTCTGATTTAATTTTTAATGAAAGTTAGTGTTTTGGGGGTTTTCATTATGTGGAAAACTGATGTCATAATGACTAATGTAAGAGAGTGCAGCTTCTTCCCTTTAGTTCTTATGGAGAATTTTGAAATAGTTATCACACTTTGAATGTATAAGAACTGAAAGGCACTGGTTTCTCCATATTTTGTCATTTGTGTTATGAAGAGTTTAGTGTAACATTCTTTAAAAAATTTTTTATCTTGTTTAGGAACTGGGTTTGCCAGTGTTTAATCATACAACAAAAATGTAAAAAAAGTTAATATTTTCACGATCTTCAGGCTGATAACAGCTTAAATATGGTTTAAACTTGTGGTAATGGCTGTTGCTTATTGTTGCACCATGACTTTGCTCATCATGTCACAACACTTCCAGTTGTACGTGGTTGGCTATGAGGATAAAGCTTTAAATGAATGGCAGTGATCACTCATACGCTATTCTGAGCCAACATCTTGTTTAAAATACTTGCTTAAAAAATCAAGCAAGTAAAATAGTTGCAAACCTGAGCTGTTGCATGTCTTTTTGCAGTCTGTGCAGACTTGATCAGAGGTGCTAAGGAAAAAAACCTGAAGGTGAAGGGACCTGTTCGCATGCCCACCAAGGTACTTGTCGCTGTTTTCCTGTCTTAACAGTTGGTTTTCTTTTTGCAACTGTGTGCTTAAAAAAAAAGATTTTTTTAAAAGAGCAAAAGATGAGGTGAAAAGCAGTGCTACTAAACTGAGGGTGACCACATGTAAAAAGATGATTTCACAAGTTGCTTGGACACCTAGGGTAACTGTTAAGTGCAAAACATGTTGAATGTGGAAGGGGCTTTTCTGTTCACTTTATTTTAGTAATGAACTCATTTTTTAAATGAAATTAAATATGTAGGGAAGGAGTGTTAACATCAGCAGACCATAACTTTTAAAAGGTAACTTTCTAATGGCATAGGTACCATACAGTGTTTTAGGTGATCATCTTTTCATATGATTGTAGATTACTCCTCTCAGTGCATCAGCTAAATACCCCATGTTTGACTTTCCAGACCCTGCGGATCACTACCAGGAAAACGCCTTGTGGTGAGGGTTCCAAGACCTGGGATCGCTTCCAAATGCGTATCCATAAGCGGCTCATTGACCTGCACAGCCCTTCTGAGATCGTGAAGCAGATCACTTCCATCAGCATCGAACCAGGCGTAGAAGTTGAAGTAACTATTGCCGATGCCTAAGCGATGGTCATCGTTGAATAAAGTTGATTTACAAATTTTCATCACTTGTTTCTTTTCTTACGTGTGCCAAGAGATAGTTCTGTGATGGTTTTTGTGAGGAAGCACAACAGAAACCACAATCAGAGTGCTGGGTGAGAAGAGGACTGTATTTAAGGAAGAATATGCCAGCTGTAAATATCAGGAAAATTTCAGTTGGGTGTCCTGGTTTCATTGGAGGCTGGCAGCTGTATGGTTGTGCTGCACTTTATGAAGAATATATTTTCAATAATTTAGGGTTTGATTTTGGCTGAAGTTATAGTTTATACACAGATATTATACACAGTACCTGCATTAAAATTTATATTTAGCTAAAATTACCAAGTTTTCAGGTCTTGGTTCTTGCTGTGCAAGACTGAACTAATGCTTAGCTTATTTGGATTTTTTTTTTCTTCCCAAGTGTGTCACAATCAAAGGATCCTGGGGGGAGGGACTAGTTACAAAACTTCATAATTTGTGGTGAACACATTGAATTGACAAGTTTTTTCTTTTGATGTGCATGTAGTCACAAAGCTGAACTATGGAACTACTGAACACATTGAATTAACAAGTTTTTTCTTTTGATGTGCATGTAGACTCACAAAACTGAACTATGGAACTAGCTAGTTGTCTTTTCAGGTTTAGATTGCCATAGATATTAATGCTAAGAGTAAGCTTCATATGTAAATCAAAAGCCATTTTTATTGCTTTTAAAAAGTCTCTCAAGGGAACTTTGATTAATCCTTAAACCAACAAAACAAAGCCCAGAGTTAGAGAAAACAGTTTTGTTTAATCCATTAAGGATCAGGTTGCTGCTTCTGCTTTGAGCATAGGAGAGAACTTGAATTCTAATTAAAACAAGGAGTGGTGGTTCTCCACAAGCAGGTTCAGGTCCTGTTAATGTTTGCTAAGACCTAAAACTGACCAAAGCTTGAGCTTTCCTACTCGAGATACGAGAGGCATGAAATTTAAGACCTTACAAGGATTCTGACCCTACAGTTAGTAGGCTTGAGAGCTTTGGTAGAAGGGAGGTGAGTTAGTGGGAACAGGTTGTGTCAAGCCTACTTTGAGAAACAACTATATGAGCAGAAGGGAAAATACCCCCCATCACAAAACACCTGTGTCTTCCTTAAAGTCTGTTTCTGGTAATATGCCACAGATAAAAGCTGTCTGACAAATACTTCTAGCTGTAGTTTTAAAATTACTTGTTTATTATATGGGTTGCTCTTTACAGGACTAAATGGGCAAACAAATAGCACATGGAGAGATACTTTGCACTCACTGACATTAGTTACTTGTACTCAAGTAGTCCTCCTGATTACCAGAGTAGCCCTGTGACTGAAAGCACTTGGAGGGATCTAGGCTAGGTTTGGTGCTATTTCTGTCTTCCAAAACTTGGAACGGTTTTGTATCTGCTTACATCTGGCTGTGCCTCTGACTTGCTGGGCGCCTCTTAAACACACCTAAACGACCTGAAGTCCCACCGATCTTTCAGCTGCGGCACTTCAGGGACCAATTTCCTTTGTCATCCCTTCACTTGTCTCCAACTCACAGAAACGCAGGTGCAACTGTACCTTTGTGTCTGGGTCCCGCCCTGTGCAGATATTTCTGCTGCCTGCCTACTGCATGAACAGGCCGGCTCACACCGGAGCTTTGCCTTTGTTACCGGGAGGCTCGGTCCTCGGCTCACACCGGAGGGCTTTGCGTTTGTTACCGGGAGGCTCGGTCCCTAGCTTGTAGAAGGCGCTGGACCGCGGAGCTCCTCCAGGCTCCTCCCGCCTTGCCCGCCGTCCCTGACCAGCACATTCCCGGCTTCCGCGTGACCCGCACGGTTCCCGATTTTATTTATTTCCTAACTTCGTTTTCTACTTCTACACCGCGGCAGCGCCGGAAAGGTTGCGTAACACCCACGCTAACTTTATATAACCCGCTCGGATGGAAACATTTAGGTACACGCGTCTCCCCCGCCCATTCTCCCCTCCTCCTCCTCCCCCTCCGCCAGGCAGAGCATCCCTCTCCTCTGGCCGCCTGGCTGTCGGTTCAAAGCTCTTCTTTACCGCCGTGCCTTACTACGGACGATAAGCAAACCCTGCGTACCGAGCCACGCCGCTCCGCTCCATCCCGCTCCCCCCATTCCCTCCCTCCCTCCTTCCCGGCCGAGCCGGCGGCTCCACTGCCGCGCGCTGTGCGACAGCTCCCCCTGCCGGGCCGAGGGAGCTCTGCCCGTGCCTTCCCCGCTGCCCCGCGCTCGACCAATCAGCGCCCGCCTTCCCCCGCTCTCGGCCAATCAGCGCCCGCCTCTCCTCCCAAAACGCCCCCTCCACCCCTACACGGGCCCGGCTGGCGGGTTCCCGCGCGCGCCAAGGTAGCGGCGCTCCCGGGAAGAGGGAGCGGGATGGGCATCGGGAGCCCGGGTGCCCCTTAGCCCGGGTGCCTGCGGGTGTTGAGCCTGCCGGGGAGGGGGCTGCAGGTGGATGAGAGCCGTGCCCGGCTGAGGCTGTTAGCGCGCTTTCCCTTGAGTGTTTCCTAGTATAACCTGCCGGGCGGTTTTTCTTTTAAAGGTCGTACTCCCCAAACTTCTCTAGATTGTCCTGTCTTCTTTGAAAGTGCTTGTTTATATACGAGCTGGCCCCATCTTTGTCATGCTCCGTATGTATTTTTGTCCGTTCTCTCAGAAAATGATAGGCTGCCCTTTTTTTTTTTTTTTTTTTTTTTTTTTAAATTTTTTTCCCCTTTTAAGTTACTTTGCAGAGAACGATGGCTGATAAGGGGGAAAGCTATGTTCCCACGGAAGTATGTGATGTGTTGGAATCGGTTTCTTTTCTGAGTGTAGAGGATAAACCTTCACCCTTGGAGTCAACAGTATTGCCTAATACAGAGGAACAGCAGGTGTGGATTGGTTTTACAAGGTGTATTCTGGTGATGCTGGGTTGTTTTTTGGTGGATTTTGGGTTTTTTTAAGCTTTAATAAATGCTTCTTTGGTAAGAACTGCTGTACTCCTCTTCTCCTGAGACGTGTTTGATTCTTCTGCTTATTTCTTGTATGTCACATGGGTCATAGTCTGCACCAAATGCAGACACACGGTCAATGCTATGCGATCTGATGAGCTATACTTCGAGAAAAAAAAGTAAAGGACTTCAGTAAAATTTGAATGTAATGAGACGGTACTGCTCTTTTTAATAAGCTTTAAAAAATACATGGATCCTTGATGTGAAAGCTGATTAGGTGCTTGGAAATAAAAATCTATAATGCTCTGCTGTGCTCGAGCAGAAGATAATATTCCCAGCTCTGCCTTTTTAGAGGGATCCATTTCCTGGGTGACTTTTCCTCAGGTGACTTTGCTTTGTCTGATTAGTGCTGCTGGTCATGACAGGGCTTTGGAGAACTGGTAAATCCATCTGCTGAATGAAATGTTGCCAAAGTGAAGACTAAAACTCCTTGAGAAAGGAAGGAGTGCTGGGATCCCTCTAAAATGCTCCCTGCTACTATTGCTTTAAGTGGGAGGGGAGACTGTTGGGGGATGGAAAAGGCCACCTGAGCAACTGAGAATGGTTGCCTGCTTGTTACTGTGAGGAAGATGAGGGTCTGGTGCCTGGATGGTGGTAAGGAAGTGGTCTCTTGAGGCCAGGAATGTGTCAGTCAGTGCTAATGCTCCATAGGAAATGAAAGTGCTGTGCAGCAGCTGTTAGGATAACACAGCTTGAATTCAGTGCAGCGGGAGGCCAGAAGGTGGAAGCACTGCAGTTTGTGCCTCTGATAGTGTGTGCTTTCAAAATCAAAATACTGGTTTTGTCTTGAAAGAATGCTAAAGGGAGGGGAGTGGGGGAGCCCACAAGAAAAGGGTTACTTGAGGACAGTAGAAGGGAAAGAGGCAAATGAAAGCTTGGAGTCTGAACTTGACATGAAAGGAAAATTTAAGACATCTATATAAAATAGGAAACACTGTGTCAGATGGTATGCTGATATGATTTGGGGCTGTTCTGTTTAAAAAGTGGCAATTATAACGGTGTTTTGTATTTTCTTTTTAATGAATAGGTGTATGAGCCTTTGAAAGTCTTCTTGAGAGTGAGGCCCTTTCCTATAGCAGAGCTTGAAAGCCATGAATCCCAGGTTTGTTGTAGAACTAAGAAATAACATTTTTTTCCTCCCCTGAACAACACATTGTTGTTGTAAGGCAGAACTTTCTTTTTCCATAAGCCATGTACTGCCCTTTTGTGGAATTATTTGGCATCTGGATGGATAGATGCAAGATTTTTTTTTTCCCACCCCCATGACTTTTAATAATTTGTATGGTATAGACATGCACACCTGTAGCTCTTCAAAGTTTCACTGGGTACATTATTTAAAAATTGGTGTCAACTCTCTGTAGTGCTCAAGATACAGAGGCGTTCCATGGAAGAGATTTTGCAAATCTAGGCATAATTTGAGTATCTGACCCTTAAGCTTCTTTGAAATGCTTGAATAATCTCCTACCTCATCCTGGTGGCTTCTTGCTCAGCCATCCAAAATCTTCTGTAACCTCTACACTGTCAGATTCAGGTGCTTCAGTGTTTTATACACACACATGTACAAACACTTAGAATTGCTCCTCTCTCCCTCATTGTGGACACTGATGTGAAGAATTCCTTTAGCTGTCTGTCCTGAGAAGGACAAGGTCTCTGTATCATCTCTTAGCCCTTGTCTTTGCAGGCTGTCTGATTGAGGAGAGGCCAGCTTGAAGAGCTCTAAGAAAAGTTTAATGTTAGTTCTTATTTGCTTCTTGCAAATTGTTTTTAGAAAATGCATTCTTGCTTTTGATCTACCAGAGTTGGAACCTTGTATTGTTTTCACTCGGATAATTCTTCCCCCCTCCTTGCCCCCAACTTCCCTTTGCCTTTTCTTAGCTCTCCTTGAATAATGTGTACTTTCACAGTGCTTCCAGTTTGGTAAATTCCACAGTCTGAGCTGGCTCCAAGTGTAAATTGATTTGCAAAATCAAATTGTTTCAGGAGTTGTTTAGTACATTCCTCTCTGGAGTGAGACATTTCTTAAAAGCAGGGAGGAAAAAGTGAACATTGATGTTTGTCTAAATTTTTTTGTTTGCAAGTAGTTCAGGCTGAAATAGTTGATCTTCCAATCTATTAGCTGTAGAATTTGTTTTGCTTGGGATTAAGGCTTTTTTCTCAGCCTCCAATAACAGAATGATTGAAAGATCTTGAACATTTTTAGTGTTTTCTACTTTCTTTACTATCACCTGAATCCAAGAAGAAAATGCTTGGTCACAAATGGAAGAAACAGTGAAGTTAGCCCCACTTCCTAATTGTTAAACAGATCAATTTAATTTTTAGGTCTTTTATTCTTCCTTGCCATGCATAATTTTCAGAAAAGCACCTTTGTTCCAAATCTGTGGCACAAAAAAAACCACAAAAAACCCCCAAAAAAAACCAAAAAAAAAAACCAGAAAAAGTAGAACCCAAGACCTATTTCTTATAGTTACAGGCTGATGCTTTAAACAAAGACAATCAGCAGGTTAACTGATCAGTTGATGCTTATAGAAATAATGGTTTATGGAAGTCAAGCTTAAGAGCTCTGGGTGAAATTCTGTACTCCTGTCAGCAATTCTCCAGAGTCACCTGTAGGAAAGGAGGAAGTTATGGTTTTTGGATACAAATGATGTGTATGGTGCCAGAAATGGTCCAGCTCCTGCCAACTTACCTGCAGGGTTAGCTGAGGGAGACCAGTGGAGTGAGTTGTTACCAGCTGGCTTCCATCTCTGCACGTCTGACTGCTTTGGGCTCTACTCACAGGCTGCTATGAGCTTGGTGGCAGCTGATGGCACATGCTGCAGGTCCTGGATTATTCTGTAGCTCTCTAGGGTTTAGTACATCTGACCAGCACTCCTGTCCCTGCTGATGTGGGAGAAATGTTGAAGGCTACATAGGTTCAGAGCCTGGCGCAGTGAGGAGGTGATTGGTCTAAATTCAGAAAGCAGTTTCTTAGAGCTTCTCAGAAGCACAGAGTAAGCTGGGTTTGAGGAGACCTGCAAGGATAGTCAAAGTCCATTTTCTGTCCCTTCTGGCACAGGACAGCCCCAAGAGTCACACCATGTGCCTGAGAGCATTGTCCAAATGCTGATTGAACTCTGTCAGGCTTGGGGCTGTGGCCACTTCCTTGGGTATTCTGTCCAGTGTGCAGCCATTCTCTGGGTGAAGAACCTTTTTCTAATTTCCAAACTAAACATCCCCTGACACAACTTCAGGCCATTCCTTCAGTTCTTGTCACTGGTCACTGGAGAGATCAGTGCCTGCCCTTTTTCGTTTCCTTGTGAGCAAGTTGTAGGCTGCTATGAGGTCTGTACCAGTTAATTACTGGCATAGAGCTTCTATATCAGTTGACAATCACACTTGTTAATTGAGGCTCCTAGGAACAGCAGTACTTCCTACGTACATACCACACATGGATTATTGGCTTTAGAAGTTCTGGCCAGTCTCTGAACATAAATGCCTGATCAAGTTACAACCAATCCTTTCAGATGATGCATCAAGACATTGTTAAGCTATATTGGGAGTTCACTTTGCATCTTCGGTAGCCTAAATAAATTTTTCTTTAACACTGCATCCTACATTTATCTAGCTAGTAAGTATTTGGTAGTTGTAGTTCACCTTTACTTAAATGAGAATAGCAATAAAGTTACCTGAAACTGATTCAGTTTCTTTCATTAGTGGTAACACTATTTATCAAAGGATAATGCTTCAGACTTAATTTACTTTGTTAATTCTGCTCGTAGTCTGTTTCACACTGAAAATGACTGATGTAGAAAACCAATAGATTTCTATGTGATTTTATTTTTGTAGTGATTGTGCAAGTCACAATCACAAAATGAGTGTTTAGAAACTGTTCCCAAGGAAAATTGCTGGAAGGAATGCAAGTAAAAGGTTTTACCTCTTAGAAAACCCCAAAAGATTGCCTTGAGCCTTGACTTTGTTTATACTCTGGCTTTCATGTGAAGTGAATGCCTCTGTAGTGACATGCTTTGAGATGACATAGGTAAATTGTGGGACTTTTTGTAGCTCTGGTAAATGGTGAAGACACTTGGCTTTCAGGGGTTGTAGGAGGGGGTGTTCATTTTTTTTTGTTCAGATAACTTTCTTCCTGAATAACTTTGTGTTGTGTTTTGGTTTACTTTGTCTTGTTTTTTAAGGGTTGTGTAACTATTGAAGATGCACAGACAGTAATTCTTAATGCACCCAAAGAGTCTTCTGCAATGAAAAACAGTGAAAGAGGGATTGGTCATGCTGTGCACAGCTTCAGCTTTTCTCAGGTAGGCCAAATTCTTTCAGATTTTTGATTTTGTTTTTTTCACTACAATGAAAGCCAAATTTTTTATTATGTCATGCAATGTGATTTTTCTTATTTTAATTATATGTGATACTTGCCTTTTTTTTAAAAAAAACCCCTGCTTATTAATTACTGATAAGCTGTCAGGAAAGCTGCATTACAATGGAGATGCCTATTAGATGAGACAAAGAAGCTTCTTTGGCAGGTCTGTGGTTTTCTTTGATTAGATGCTACAGAAACACCTTGTAGGCACAAACTTACTGTGCTTCTGCTGTTCCTGCAGATGTTTTTATCTCAGAAACCTTATGTTTGTAGGAATTTATGTAAGCATGTACTTAGTAACTTCCTTTTGAAAGCATAGCAGCTTAACTGCTTAAACCTTATATACTGAAAGCAAATTTCTTAGCTTTGCCTACTGCAAGAAGGCACTGTTCTTACAGTACCAAAAGATAAACAGTTCCAGAGATTGAGTTATTTAAACCTTTGTAATGCTGATTTTCTCATCAGTTGTGGGTAACTGGTGAAGAGTGAGGAGGGAGTTTTACATCACCAGCAGAGCTCTTGAAAGTGTTCCCTGAACAGCATGTGCTCAATAGAATTCTGATCAGTTTATTTTAGGAGTAGGAAAATATTAAAAAATGAGTGTAAACCTGAGTGCCTCTCAGAATTAAGTAGGCATCCTGTGAGAACCCAACAGAAAACACTGAATCAGAAGGGGTTCAGGCAAGACAGGAGATTAAGCTGTTGTCTCCTACCCAGCTTGTTCTGAAAAATCAGTCATGTCTAATCAGTACTTAATATTTTGGCTTATTAAACTTTTGTGCCATTTATCACTTTTTTCTTTCTTTCCCTTATCCTAGGTCTTTGGACCAGAAACTACTCAGAGTGAATTTTTTGAAGGCTCAATGAAAGATATCATAAGAGCATATGTTAATGGAGTGAATGGACTGGTATTTACTTATGGAGTTACAAATGCAGGCAAGACATTCACTATCCAAGGTATAAAATATTTGCATGTACAAAACCCGAGTCAAATCCAATGACCAGCTTACATGAATGTTTGCACTTAATTTTTTAATATTTTTAAGGGACTTCAAAAGATCTTGGTATTTTACCTCGCTCACTTGATGTGATTTTTAAACACATAAGAGGAAGACATTACCTGAAGATGAACTTCAAACCATATTTGAGCAACGATGTTAAGAAACTAGAAGATGAACAAGTTAAACAAGAAGAAGCCTTAAAAACTGCTATTCTTGCATCACTGAAAGAGGTCAGTGTCCAAATGCTTCTTAAAGCTGTTCTGTAAGACAGGAAGTTTTAAAAGTCTTTATTCCACTATTGATTCTTTATATATATAAAAATCTACAGTATGCATACTTGGTTAACCTTGGAATAATAAGAAAATTGGCTGTTTTTGGAGCTCAGGGTAAACTGGAAGAACTTTCTGCAGCACATAGTTCAAACCAAAAATCATCAGAAAGCCAAATCTCAATTTCTAGTGAGAAATCTCCTCTTTAGAGGAGCAGTTCTGACACTGTGATGAGAGTAGCCTTTGAAAAGTCTGAGAGCTATATGACCTAGCTAAAACCTGGTTCTTGTTAAGTGGCTCTTCTTGCAGGTCGGCTTCCCAGGCTGGATCTTGGTGCAGTCATTCAGATGCTTGGACTAGCTCAGGAGAGATGATGGCACTGTCTTAGCAGAGGCAGTGAAGAAGGCAGGGAGAGTCCCTTTTGGTGGAAGACCAGTCTTAAAAACAGTCCTATAAACCTGAGTTTTATATAATTGCATAAAGAAGCTTTCTGACTCAGCAAGTGGAGTGAGATGCCACAAAATCAATGTTGTAAAAGGATTCCTGTCTGCCTTAGGGGATAGTATGTGACTAAGGCTGATCTTTGAAGACTGTAGGTAGAATAGAGAAGTCTTTACTGTGGCAACCCTCCTGTTATTATCTAGTAATTTCTGTTTCTATGGTAAGAAACTGTCTCACCAGAAAATGGGCATCCATGTACTTGGGACTATTTTATACTTCTAAGACCAGTTGCAGTTTGCTGTCAGATTTCTTTTGCTCAGAACATTTTCCCCTGAACTGTGGTTCTGTGCATCTAATCCCAGAATGCAGTAGGCTCAGCTGGTTATTATTCAAAGCAACTCTAAAGTAATTCTGGGATGCACAGAAATAATGATTGGGTTTTCTTTTTTTCTGTGGTCTTTAACACTAACCTTGTTTAAGTGCTCCAGTTAACCCTGACAAAATATCCTTCTATGATTCAAATTCATATGTTAAGTTTCACATTAAATTTTGTTGCTTAATTTAAATTCTGCAACCCCAAACTTGGTTTAGTCAGAGTCTGGTTAATTCTTGAGGAAACATCTTTCAGATGAAAAATCTGAATGATTACATATTTATTTTGTAAGTGTCTCTGAGTATGTGTATGCACATGGAGGAGGAGGGCATCTTAAAGAAAAGTTGAGATGGTTAGGAGGATAGTAAGTAAATACCTTCAAAAATTTTATGGAAGCTACAGCATTGAAAAGAGGAACAGGCAGGAGCCCAGGGTCTGGAACAAAAGATCAATATCTTATTTTGAAGATACCTCTATAAAAATATTTCCTTCTATTAAATCAGTCTGACTTACATGTAGCTTAGTAACTGAATGTTGCAGTAGGTGATCTAGATGCTGATACACTGCGGTGCATAGAGAGCACCGCTCCACCATCAGGAAGGACAGGTGAAGATGAATCAGGAAACTATTGCATGGCAGGACCCAGTTTGTGTGTTACAATGCTTGAAAAGGGATAACTCAGTGATCCCCAGTTCTGAAGCTGTGCTTCTTGATAGCTTGTGAATGAATAGCATCACTGTTTGGATGCTCCCTCAGCTGTAACCTGAGAGCAGATACGATTTGGTGGGCTTGGCTTTGGTTGACATGGATTTCTGTAGGCTCTTTTCCCAGGCTCAGTTTACATATCTCACAGAAAGAGTTTGCTGTTCCTTTCATTCTCCCAGTTTTAACTGCTCTTAGTTACTGCAGCAGTACTGTTTATGTTCTGTGTGCATTACTGCTGCAACAACTCTTGCTTAGGGTGGTTCATACCCTTCCTTCCCTTTTCTCGTTCTTTTCATTCATGGGGTTAAACACTGTTTTTTATGGGATTAAAATATGCTTTATGTGCATTCCTTTTCCCACCTGTTATTGTATTTCCTGTTAAATGTCAGCTTCTGTTATTGGCAAACAATGTCAGTTCCTGTTCATTCCCACTTGTTTTTAGACAGTCTTCTTCATGCTATCTTCTGTATTTCACTTGAAAAGCAGTGTAGCAACAGTTAATCCACTCCATTTTCTCACAATACCTTTACAAAAACTTATCACATGCACAACTAACATGGTACTGTTACAAAAACTTATCACATGCACAAGTAACATGGTACTGGGTTTTCTAAGTTCCACTGCATTTTTGACATGCATGGAAGGGATACCACGTGTGTCAGTCCTATATCCTGCTTGGCACTTCACAAGCAATGAAGAGGACCCCTGCTGTTGTTAGACCTCTAGTACTCAAGAAACAATCATGCAGACAGCTTCTGCAAAATGGTCATTTGTATTTTGTTGTAATTCTATTCTATTCTATGCTATTTGTCTTTAAAATGAAGACCTCAAAGTATGGCTTTGTGCCTCTCTGTTTGTAAGAATTCTGGCTTGGATGTACCAAGTGGGTAACGTTGGCACCAGCAGTCAATCCATGATCGAGGTAGTGCTGCATTTGAATAGCTTTAACACTAGGGTTTGCTTCTCTGGATCTGTTCCCTCCTACTGTAGGATGACCCTCTGTCAGGAAAGAGAAATCAGGGTGAATGTCCTGATTTAGAGTGGTCTATAAAATATGGAAAAAGAGAGGTAGTGGGTAGAGATGCTGGGCTGTAGTGGGTGTTGCTACTTTGTTACATTAGTTTTTCCAGAGGTAACTTCAAGGCTGTGCTTTGTTGAATCTTGACAGCTTTAAAACAACTCTGTTGGTGTAAAGAAATTCAGCAAATGTGTGTATTTAAAGAAACTGTGCTGTTGTCCATTTTTTGTGGCCTTTTAGTTCAGTCTGAATTAAAGCAACGTAGAGTGTTGGTTTGTCATGACTTAAGTCCTACCACCTTGGCAATTACTCCTGGAGGAAAGTTCTCCAGTTCTTTTGGATGACTGAAGCACTGTTCAGGTTTGGTCAATGGCTCATAAAGGCAGTCTGACAGAATCCTTCTAGGACTCTGAGGTTAAGTCTCAGTGTTAGCAGCAATTGCCCACCACAACTGGTGGCATTAAAGAGAATTTATTGATTATAGTTCAGTATTATTAAAACATTTCACTTTCAGCCAGAGTAAGGGTGGTCTAGCACTTAATACTGCTTCAGTATTTTAATCTTAAGTACTGGAATTGCTGTCATTTTTAACTTCTGCTTTTCTCATCTGTTCATGTGGATTTAATACTCTTTTATTTTCTCAAGGAGACAGAGAGCATCTCAAATGCTATAGCAAATTTCTGTGATGTGAAGTTGGATTCTTCTAACTGTACTTCAGACAATCACCCTTCTAACTCTCTAGGTAAAGTGGAAAACGGTTGTGTGTGGGGAAAAACATAATTCGAATTAAGAAATATTAGTGAGCTACTGCCAATGGATAAAAAATCCCTATACTATACTGCAAAGTAAATATATATAGGTTTTTACCATGTTTTTGTCTTCCTCTGGAGAAAGCACAACTATATAAAAATATTTTGGTAGTTTCACTCCTTTTGGGGAGATGAGGGAGACTTAGTTTTGCAAGTATAATGTATAAACTGCTGGAAGTCTGCGATAAAGCAAGGTCATCAGCTTAGAACTTGGGCATATTCTTGTAACAGATGACTGCTGAGAAGTCTGGACATTTTTGAAGTTATCCCTGTTTATCTAACTGTACAATACAGATGTATCTAAACTTTCTCCTTTAGCAGGCTCTATAGGTCCTTTTAGAGGATTCTATCCACTGATTTAAAATCTGTGAATGTGCTGATATTTGAACTCCTCCTCTGTTTTGGGTTAGCAGAGAAGAACTTTGTTCCATTTGATGTTCATAAGACTAATATGCACCAAAGAACACAAGCATCTGTGTGGATTTCCTTTTGTGAAATTTATAATGAATATGTGTACGACCTACTGAGTATTTTGTCTACATCAAAACCTCAAAGGCGCAGAGTCTTAAGAATTTGTGAGGATCAAGGAGGAAATTGTTACATTAAAGGTAATAATACTGTTTTATGACCTGGGCAGTTACACAGAATTTCTCTGATGATCAGAAATGTATGTGAAGGATCTCTTTTTGCAGATTTAAAGTGGATTCAGGTTCAGAGCACTGAAGAAGCCTGCAGACTACTAAAAATAGGAAACAAGAACCGAAGTTTTGCCTGCACCAGAATGAATGAGCAATCAAGTAGAAGGTTTGTTCCTGTAATTATAAGCATGCTCTGTCCCTTTTGAGGGGAAGGGAGGGCACTTCAGAATGTGTGAAATGAACCACTCTTCAATAATAGTTTAATACTTCCCTTGATTATTTTGCTTTTTTTATGAAATTCTCTCTGAAAGAAAGCCAGGAGAGACTCTGTGACTAGTAGTAGCTGCACTCGGATTGCTGTTCATGTCTTTGGCCAACGAAAAAGATCAAATCACGTTCATTTTTGAGTGCCAGCAGGGCTGTGCATCTTGGCAAATGCTAGTGGTGCTGAGTGAGAATGGCTGTGTGAGGATGTTGCAGGAAAAGCTGGTTAATCTTTCATAACTGGCAGTATAATTCTTGGAAACATGGAGCCTGTCACTGGGGGATATAGGAAGGATCAGGTTGTGTTGTATCTTGCAGTGCTGCTAGATTTTCTACATGCTTTTAGATTGCTGTGTTCAAGCTGAGCTTCCTTGGTGTCTTAAGAATTAAACCCTTACATTTTTATCCAGCTCTGGACAGGGATCGGGGAGAATCTGGCTTTTGATGGAGTGAGAAGAAATAGAGAAGGTTATATAAGTCTATTGAAAGTGCCTCCTTTCTTGATTTTAATGACCTCTTAATAATTTGCCCTTTAAGTGTGAAAGGGCCATGTTTTATTTTTAGCTAATGCAATCAGTGTCACTAAGCCTGCTTTTTTTTTCCTGTAAAAAGCAAGAGTTATGTTCTGTATTAGCTAAAGACAGCTGCTGTTCAATTGCATGCTCTTCTTACAGAGTTTTATGCCTAGAATGCCCACTGCTTAAGGAATATACTAAAGAATTTTGCATGCTGTTCTTCCTGATGAATCAGAGAAACCGGGCACTTCTGGTTTTGTGACTTTTCTCTTTGGTTTCAGACATGCCTACTGCCTGTGTAGATTGTTGTCTAAACCAGAGTTACAAACTCAGCCTTTCTGGAAAACAGAATTAGTTTAAAACCAAACAAGTAACTGTGCATATTGAAGTAGGCAAAACTACAGGACTGTAAAACTAGAACTTATTCTCTTCTCCCCATCATTTGTTTCTAAGTTAATCCTTCAGATTTGCCGAGTTCAGATATTGCCAAAGGTTTTCTATATGAAGTTGCTACATGACTACTCTTCTTTTGATCAGTGAACTGGCTTGGTGTTTTTCTCCAAGACAGGTTGTAGGCTTCACATGGTATTTTTCCTTTTCCTGTGTGAAAAGAAAGTCATAAAATGCAGCTTTTTTTTTTTTTTTTTTTGCTGCTGAATGAATGCATTGCAAAAGTAATATACCAAGATAACTAGTGAGTTAATTCTTGTCCTCTCTTTACCACTGAGCTTTCTGTAGCATACAAATTTTACTTTGCTTCAGCGACTGCTTAATTTTCATAACTGATTATTAAAAAGAACTTCTTTCCATTCCAGTCACAGTATATTTTCCATCAGGCTACTCAAGCTAACTGATGAGCATCAGCCACGTGTTCTTGGAGTATCAGAGTAAGTGAATGCTTCATGTGATTACCAAGAATGTAAATATTTTGGAAAAATTAAGGTGTAAGCATACCAAACTGCTGAACTTTCTAATAATACACAAATTCTCTGAGAGTTGGGAGGGAAATCAGAACTCTACTGAGCACATAAACTGACTGGAAGCTCAACAGGGACAAGCACAGAAGTGTTTTCCTGTCTCTTAAGGTTTTGCTGGAGCAGCTCTATCAGTAGTGTGCAAATTGAGGAAAATGTGTATTGTCTCACATAATGGGGAGGTGGTGGCAGAGTAAGACTATGCAGCAGCAGACTGTATGTCCTGGTAAGCAGGATTCAAGTGTCTGGCTGGTAGAGGGTGATCTCTGCAGCTGGAGGGCAGCAGTTGGTGCTGAAAGCCCCAGGGTTGGCATTGCCTATGCCAATCTGTCTTTCTGCTCTGGGACCAGACTAGTCTTCATGGGTCAAATGTTTGTGGCAACACATTTGGTGTGCTCCTAGAATGCAAATTAAAATCTATCATCCCAAAAGAATTCTGGTGGCATGATCTCAGACTGTTCCATGGTCCAATGTACAGTAGGAGGGGGCCATCAAATGATTTGCTTAAAAACTCTTCTCCATTAATGTAAAATGCTGATGTTAAGTGCACCCTGTGAGAGCAGTGTTCAGTCCTTACACTTAAGTCTCTGCTCTTTTATGGTTTAAAGAAAGCAGCCTAATCTTCTGGCCTGAAGACATTTAGATAACTTTTCTTGGGAAAGTGTGTCTTTTTGTTTTCTGATTAATTTAGTTTGGCACAGAAAAATGAAGACGGCCTATAACACAATGTTTTAGTTCAGTCCTAGCTTCCGCTGATTTCTCTCTGGTCTCTGCTGAGCAGGGATGGTAATAAATATACCTCACTGTGAGATAACACCTTTAAATGTCAGATGCTACAGTGATAAATACTCTCAAGAAAAGATAACTTGAGAAAATGGTTGCATCTGTATTTTTTTTGCTGTTCTGTATCATACTATATCCCCCTGGCAAAACTTGCAGCAGCTGTTAGGTGAATGACAGAGTTGGTATCTTAAGGAAGAAAAAAGCTTTTAATCTTGTGCTGGAAAAGGATAAAGAACATAAGGCTTTCATACACTTGAAATATGTGCCTTAATTTTTATAGGACTTACTTTAGCTGCATGAAAGTTTATGGTCTTACAAATTATTTTATTTAAATAAATTTATGTGTAAGTGAGTAATGGTATGGTCACATAAATTATCCAACTTCCAGAGCTTCCTGTATTTCAACAACTTTCCTAATATAAAGTAAAATTTATGGAATTCCTTGATTATTCAGGATGACTTTCTGATTGTAACCTATTGTGCCATGAGGGACAATTCAGTGGCCTGAGTTTAGCAGCAGATAATTGCTATAGCCAAGCAAAGAGCTCTGAGGTGAGCTGGGAAGGACTTCATGTATGTGTTCTGGATAACTCTTCCATGCAGGTTGTCGTTCTGTGACTTGGCTGGTTCAGAGAGGTGCAATAAAACACATGTCTTTGGAGACAGACTAAAAGAAGCAGGAAATATTAATAATACTCTTCACATCCTTGGAAAGTGCATTGCAGCACTGAAGCAAAATCAAAACCCAAAGTAAGTGACAAGTTATTTACGTGCCAAGTTTCAGGTGGAAACACTAAATATCCCTTTATATTTCTGCAAGTAGTTTGCACAGAGAAAAGTGGAAATCTACAAAATCTTTTAAGTCTTCTTTATTATAGATGTCACTGTAATACCTGCAGAGTTCTCCTTAACTGGTGTTCGTGTAGAGCAAAAATGGCAATTTGCAGCAAACTGCCAACACTTTTTTTAGTGTGTGTATATGAACAATACACTGTGTACAAAGCTTCAGTTTTGTCATCTTCACTTCCACCTGCAAATTATACAAGTAGATTCATCAGGCAGGTGATAGATGACCTGTACTTAGCTTTTGGCTTGTTCTGCTATCTGCTTTGGAACACTAGGAAAATGTGATGCATACAACATGCTACTTTTAAAAAATTCAGTTTATTGGAGAGCCTATGAAATCCAGGAAAGATCTTGCTCTTTGATATAAAATCACTTCGGCTTAAAATATGAGCATCCTACTGGATCTCTTTCCTGAAAGAGAGAAACAGAATTAAGGTGAGCTACAATAGCCCACAATTTTACCATTTTTATTTTGTTTCACAATTTTATTTTTTTCCCTCCCTGAGGATGAAGCCAATCTATATTCCATTCAGAGAGAGTAAGCTGACTCGTCTGTTTCAGCCATTTTTTTGTGGGAAAGGCAAAGTTTGTATGATTGTAAATATCAATCAGCATACTTCCACATATGATGAAACACTGCATGTAATGAAATTTTCAGCTATAGCCAGACAGGTAAGAGTATATCTACTTTCTCTGCTATTCTGCTTTTTTTTTTTTTTTTTTTTTTTTTTTTTTTTTTTTGTAGTGATTTTTAAAATGATCAGGTTGTATGAATTTTAGTGTGATTTGGATTCTTGATTCTTCATATTAGTTCTTCTGCATGTGCCTCTCTCTAAAAGGCAGTCTTTCCCATCTTCAAACCTATTTGTGGTAAGAAGTTAAGACAACTGCAGGTGTCTGACTGTTCAGTTCTACACCACTGATGTTCTGTGTAAAACACAGGGCACTTTCAGATATGACTGATTTATACCATATATCTGAACAAATGCAGGATTTCAATTCAAACTCTTGATGAATTACTTAACCTGGGTGCAGTTAAACATCTGTTGCACAAGATGAGTTGTTCACAACTTCTTGGACAGTTGGTGGTGGTAAAAGGATTATCATCTTCTTCTGTAGCCTAAATGAGATATTTTGCAACTGCATTGCTCCTATTTGGTTAAATGCAAGTAACCAATAATGAAGAAGTGTCTTGGCAAGCTTTTTCTCCATCTCCTTCAGTACCCTTGGGTGGATCCCATCCAGCCCCATAGACCTGTGTGCGTCTACATGCTGTAGCAGGTCAATGACCATTTCCTCCTGGAATATGGGGGCCTCATTCTGCTCCCTGCCTCAATCTCCCATTAAATTCAGGACTTGGGGTTGATGTTTGGCCTTAACCTCATCCAAGTTCCCTGAAGCTGCTTCTTGCAGGGAGTGGGATGATGGGCTGTGCTGTGTTTCATGGCAGAAATTCAGTAAATTTTTAGACTGGAGCTGCAGATTATTTCTGTCATGTAATTACACATCTGTAATAACATGTCTAATATGATCTCAGAGGAAGATTTTTCTAATTCTTTTCAGGTGTGACTTTTGTTATAAGAGTGTGCTGTGGAGACAAACTTCTGACATGCTGTCCTATGACATAGTTACTTAAAATCTCTATGTAAATAGCATGAATTTCTTGTTGCTTCAGGAAGGAGCAAGTGTTGTAGGGATTTTCTGCTTTTCATTAACTTTGCAAGAAACTACACCAAAACCCTTACATTTTAGGGGAAGAGAAACCACCTGTCTAGACAAGTATGCTAAGTTTGCTAGCAGATAATATTTCCATTTTCACTCTTTTTAGAGTACTTGAGTCTTATGTTCCTGTAAGAATTATGTTACATTGATGGATTTTTTTTTTTCTGCTAAAAGGCATGTAAGCTTTTGTTGACATTCATGTAATCATGAAATATTGTGTAAATACCACAATGCATTCATGCCACTTCTTCCTGGTATCCTGATACCTACAATATCAACAGCACTGGTAAATCGTCTCTGGATTTTTCAGGTGATCCAGAAAATCCTGCCCAAAAATTTTGGTTATTTTCCACCAAAGCTAGTTGTAGGTGATGGCAGACCTATGATGCACTTTGATGCTAACACATCTGTAGATGACTTTGCTGACAGTGCTGAAACCTCTGCAGAAGAGGAAGTGGACATCACCATTCTGAGTCATGAGGTAAATATGTGTCTACTCAGAACTGCACCCAAGAAAGCCATTCTGTTAGTTCTAATATTGTTTTAGCATAAGAGATGTGCTGAACGCTGCATCAAATGGGAAGTTTAAGTTTCTGTTCAGTGTCAGATTGACTAGACTTACGTGGCCTAGTTCAGTGTAGCTGTGGAAGGATGCCCTGTGGCTTTCTAGTTAGGTCAAGTGCTAAATTTGGAATTCAGCTGATTGCCCAACAAGAATACTAAGGAAGCAGTACATATCTTTAAAATAACATAATTTAGTTTTTTGTACCTTTTTCTTTTTTTCAGTAACAGCAGTAACTAGTTAAGACACAGCATTTTAAAAACAAAGCTATACAATCTAATAGCAATAAACTGTAAAAATCAAGTGGGTTTTATGTTGTTATGCTGTACAAACAAATATTTAAATGCCATAACGGAAGTGAACTTTTTCATAGTGGACACTATCAAGATGAACACAGGATGTATTTGCAGTAGAAATATATATTTGAAAATATTTAAACTTTGGCACAGACCCCCCAAAAAACATAAGTTTATAAAAAATACCCTCTGTGGATGTCTGCCTGTATGAATATTTTGTTTGAGATGCATGTCAATATGTGTTTCAGTCTTGGTTTTTGAACTGAAATACTTTAAATTTAGGACCTCTTGAAAGCTGCAGAGGACTTAAAGGAGAAGGTAGCTGCAGAAAGGCGAAGCAAGCTCCTTCTGGAGGTGAAGATACGCAAAGAGATGGCAGAAGCAATGTTTCGACAGCTGCTGGAAACTGAGGAAGCCTGGAGGCAAGTCACATTGCAGTCTGCTTTGGGACTGAAAGGGTTCCACATGCATAAATGCATACATGTGGGTGTAAGTGCATACATGTATATTCAGGACATATCTACTCATGTTATTTAGAGAAGACAGGGCTGGACAATTTCAAAACCTACGAAGGAAAGGGAAGAAAAAACAATAAACTTGTTCAGATCAGCCTCTTCCCATTTACAGTGAAAAAGTAATGCTGCTTTCTGTTCCACTTTCCTCTGTTGAATTTGCAATTACTGAAGCTTGTCCTGGCTTGTTATTACTACTTAGCAGATGTGGAAGATTGTTACAGGTACCCCACTGAGGCTATTTTTCCAAAAACATGACTGTCATGTTAATATGCATGCATGTGCTTAAGGAAGTTTGAATCATCTCTTTTGAGCTCCTCTGCATGACTTATGAGCCACTGTTAGTTTACTATCTTATGAGTTACTGTGCCCTTATGAATTATCTTATGAATTATGAACCCTGCACTGATGTTAATTTAGGAATTTTTTTTCCTCAAATCCAGATTCCTCAAGTTGAGTTCACTTCCTCTTAACTCTTCTTTAAATCAGTTTCCTGCTGTTTGAATTGTTTAAAAAATTAATACCAAGTTACCAGCTGAGCACACTACGGTTTAACCCCCGCACTGGCTTTAAAATTGTTAGGTTGCCTTTGGCCAAATACATGAATTAGCATTGATGCTTTTTCTCAGTTCAGGTGATTTTCTGCATCATTGATGGGGCATGTTTTTAAATTTTGACAGAAATATGGAAAGTATTGAATTAATAGATGGGGAGGAACTTCTCACAAGACTATGTAGTGAGAGGACAAGGGGGACTGGATTCAAACTGTGAGAGTTGGTTGAGCTTGGTTGTTAGGAAAAAATTCTTTACTGTGGTTGTGATGAGGCACTGGAACAGGTTGTCTAGAGAAGTTGTGGATGCCCCATTCCAGGAAGTGTTTGAAGGACATGTTGGAAAGGTCTAGTGAAAAGTGTCCCTCCCCATGACAGGGATGAGAGAATTAGATGATCTTTAAGGTCCCTCCCAACTCAGGCCACTTTGATTCTATGAAAATTAATTTGGCATTTATCTTGAATGGAAAAAAACAACTAAAACCCAAAGTGGATGCATGTTTCAAATATAACATCTAAATGGGTGTGGTCACTTCTCTTGCTGTATGTTGGTGGGTTTTATTAATTTCTGTAATTTTTTTTGGACAGGTGTTAAGTGTGTGTTTTTCTATAGCATTTCTTTGGTATATGCCAAGTAGAAGTTATATTTTGGTGCAAGTCTGTAGGATCACTGAGATTAAAAGGAAAAAAGTGCTTCTTTGTCTTTTTGTTTCACTATTTCTGGTTAGAGAAATGACTTGAATGTGCTCAGTTGAATACATGTAGTCACATGTACTAGCTGGAATGCAAACACGTTGTTCATAACAAACATGTTCTCTTCAGCAACCGCTTGGAAGATATGAAAGACAGCTATGAAGAAAAACTCGAGAGCAAATTTGAAATGTATAAAGAGGCCATTAAGAAACATGCATATATGTGTGCAATGGAACAAATTGAAGAGCATTATGTTCCCATAGAAGAATTTCTAGCTGAACAAGAGAAAGTTGAGGTATGGCTTGACTGCCATTAAAGTATGCTCTAGCCTCTTAACTGTAAATTTTGCTTTTCTTTAACAGAATCACTCTGGGATTTTGGATATAACACTAAACAAGGAAAATAACTCGCAGTTCAGCCTTGCTGTTCTGTGTTCAATGCTCACCATAAGCATACAGATGTCTTCTCTCTGGCACCACCTGTAGTGCACAGCTAAACCTTTTGATTTTTGAGGGCACAGTTCAGTTAAATCCAAGTAGTCTTTATCTTTGTGGCGCAATAGCTGGAACGCTCAGGGAAATGATGTATACAGGAGTCCGGCTTTCTAGAGATCTTTGGGATCATAGGATGTAGATTAAAATGCTGCTCTGAAAGGGTGATGGGGAATTTGTTACAGGATGGCTATTTTAATTATATCTAATCTCTGGTCTGGAGGTGGTGGGAGCATTGTGGGATAAGAAACTCATGAGAAATCCAACTTCATGCAGGAGAGAACTGAATCTCTTGAATGTACTTAAACACAGAATTGCTCAGAGTTGGCATTAGTAAGTTGCTGCTCCTTTTGCAATGCAGCCAGGTTAGCTATGAGCAACTCAGTTTTCTAAGCTCTGCATAGATGGTTAAGTGCATCCAGGCAGCAGATGAGCCCTGTGGGTCTTGTTGTTTTCAGAAGGTTTTCAGTGGAAGAATAGAACAGCTGTGGTGTCCGCCAGAGGAGCTTTCTCACTGCAATCTCCTGTTCTGGAACTGATAAGCCATCACACTCTATGGATAGGCAGGTTCCTTTCAAGATATAAGTGGGTTTCTCCTGTAGATTGTGATATATAAATATTTCTGCTTTTACAGCTCTCCATTCAGGTGCTGACAGGCAACACCATATTATGTAATGGCCTATGTTTTTCCATCTCCTTCAAATTTGTCTCTTTTCCTCACTTGGACTCTTTTTCTGTGTTCAATTAAATCCTAGCTATACACTATATTAGAGTGGACAGAAAGAGTTTTCATAGTGCTCTTATACTGGTCAAGAGGCTGCGTAAGGGAAGATTCAAAGAGCAAGATGCTTTGGGTAGCAAGTCAGAGAAGAAATTGTTGAAATTCCTGAGATGTAGAAGGGTTAGTTGACAAAGGGAGACAACAGCATTAATCTGGATGGGCAGCTTCAGAGAACCAGAATTAGGTGAAATAACTTTTCTTGATGATGCCACTTGTTTGATTTCTCGCTCTGAAATACCATACCAGCAATCTGACAGATACTGGGAAAGAGTTTGAGATTAAAATGTAGCTCTATGAATTAAGTTTTTCCTTAGTTAGCAAGGTAACTTGCAACAATGTTTAGCACATACATGCTAAAGTTTCCTTTCTGCCATATGGTTACTTTTAATAGAGTTTGGAAATGCTCAGACTGGAAGAGCTGACTCATTTGCAACTTCTTCCTAGATGTTTTTGTGACCTGAGTGTTATCCCTTACTGTGATTTCCTAAGCATAACCTGTGAAATAATTTAAAATTACACATGTGTGTGTGGTGTAATTGAAGGATGTGCACTAATGCATCAGATAAAGCAGAAATGCAGACAAATTCTACCATATGCCCTTATTTTTTCAGGATAGAGAGAAGAAAATACGGCAATTGGAAAGGCAGCTTGATGAACAGTCAGGGAGGCTGTTGGCTCTGGGAAGTCTGAGCTTGGATGTTCCCACTACTGAAAATAACATGGAACGAGGTAGGAATGTCATCTGGGTATCCAAAGTTCAGTTTACTCCTGGTAATGTGTATAAACAAACTTTTCTTTTGCCTGTAGATCTTATGGACAGCACATTGAAGAGAGCCAATGAAGGATTGCAGAAACAATGTGAAGAGAAGGAAGAGGTAGCTCTTGCTTAGTATTTGTCTGGGGATAATGGTTGTAAACCCTATCATGGTTCGATGCCTAAAGATGTGCATTGCAGACAAAAACCATGAAGATTCCTGCAAATGGGCATTGAGCTTATTTAAAAAAAAAAAAAAAGCCCTTGCTCAATTGTGGATGACTTTTGCCAGAGACTGTTCTGTCATTATTCTGGCCTGTAAAATCATTTGCTACTGTAACAAGTCATGGTGAATGCCGTGTGAGTTGGAAGGAAGTATGTTTAGCTTTGGGCTGGAATTTATTGTAAATATTGCTGCCATGACCTCAGAGCTTTCCTTCCTGAAATGCTGCCTGCTTCTGCATAGGGAACAGTTACAGAACCTGGTAACATTTTATATTTTAGAGCTAAAATCAAAATAGTGCCTTAAAGCAGTCCTTTCTGGAAGTACTCAATTCCACTATCACCCTAAACTTAAGTAAAGGTGAATATATCTGTTCTTCAAACAAGATCTCTGTGCTCTGAGTACCATATAGAGGTGGGAATTATGGAAAACAATTTTAAAGTATGCATTTTTATTCTTCCTTGAGTGATCTTCTTGTAAAGATCCAGTTAATTTCCCATGTTTAAAGAGGATGTGGGGAAAAGGGAAGACATGAGTCTTGCTTCTTTCTCTAATAGCAAATATGAGTAGGGATTGGAGCAATAGTTCCAGCTGGTTCTAACAAGCCATGTAAATGGAAAGTGAACTTAAATATCTTTCTATTGAGAAAGAATAGTTCAAAAATAACTTTTTTCCTTACCAAGTTTAATGTCTCGTGCTATGGCTGTAGGATTTGTTTTCCATTGTTTTTTAGAGCTCTACATAATTTTCCCATGTCACTTTCAAATTTTGGTGAAAGTTTGGCTTTTATGCTTGTTATGAGGATAGAGTTATTGGTTGGTTTGTGTGGCTAGAAAGTGTTAGAATGATGAGATTGGTTTAAACCAGTCTCACTTCAGTTATTGCCAGGAATCATTCTCAGTTCATTCCATCAGTGCCTTTCTGCTGCTTTGCCTAAGATCAGTGCATGTGTGACTTGTAATTCACCACTTTTTTCTTCCCATTCAGCCATTAAACATGGGCTAATGGTGTGAATTTTTTTAGCAATTGTGTAGAAGCAAATTAGCAGTAACATCTATTTTTCTACTTCAGAATTTTTTGCCTCTTGGGGCTTAGGCTTAATCCATTAATTTTCCCATCTGAAAGGTGAGGTCTTCTGTGGTAACTTTGCTCCAATGTAAATAGTATTAATGAGATAAAAGTGTTCTTTGAACTACTCTTACTGAAATGGAGCAGGCTGTTCCAGATATAGCTTGGTCTGTGCTACGGTTTATTGATTGGCAGGTCTGTAAATCACAGTAGCTTCAACACAACAGCCTTTGAATGCTCCAGCTACATTTTATCACCTGAAATGATGAGCTGGGACAGAGGAGGTTGGGAGAAGCAGACTTTCTTGTTTTGATCTTGCAGTTTGCACTGTTCTAGTCATAAACAAAATTAATGTAAAACATGCTGTTCTGAACTTCCATGTGTATGGGCTTTATTTTCAGCTTATAAAATCTCTGAAGTTTAAAATACAGAAACTAAATGAAGCCCTGCTAGAAGCTAATGAAGGCTACAGAAAAATGGCAGAAGAAAACAGTCAACTGAAGCACACAATCATGCTCAAGGTTAGTCAATGATTTAAAAACAACTTAAATATGGTTTGTATCTGTATTGTACTGGCTGCTTCTGCCTCTTTTTATATGAAAAACCACTGTTAAATTAGCATTTGTTTTGATGTTAGCATTTTTTCTGTGCCTAACTTCCTGAACTATGAGCTCAGAGTCCTTGTGTTTCACTACTTGACTCTGAATTTTGTAAGACAAAACTCATTTTTCAACTTAAGTGATAGACTCTGTCAATGGGGTAACTCTGCTGACAAAGCCTGCTAATCTAAAGATGTCATGAATTCTTGTCAAGCAAAGAAAATACCGCTTAGAACTCATCATGAGCCATGTTGCTGAGGCAAGCAAGGTCAGTGCACAAATGCTACTGCAATAAGGCCTAAGGATCTTTGGCTTTAAAGCTATACTGATGGTGCTGCCAGAAGTGGCCGAATAGACATCTTCCTTGAACAGCAGGGACCTCCTAAAGTTTACTGCATCTACCCTCAGATATCAACTAGATTCCTAAACAAAAAAATGAAACTTTTCAACTCTTGGCATTTTGAATCTATGCCTCACTTGTAAGGTATAAAAACTCACTCTGCAGGTATAATAACTGCTTAGTGATGTCTTTCTTTGAACATTAGATTATTTTCTGCATACTTTTTACTTTAAATCTGAGACTGAAAATTATTTGACTTGAACTTTTTAATTGGAAGTTACCTTCCTATCCCTCATTAATAGGAAGGTGATTTTGTTAACCACCGAGACTAAAGAGTGTATTTAACACTGTATATTGCCCATGCAAAGGATTTACTCATCCTGGTTAGCACACTTATCTATGAGAGTTTTGATTTGGCCAGTTTTGCTTTCAGAAATTGCAAGGCAAGAAAGCCACCTTTATCTGGCTCCTAGAACATCATCAGTTCTTTGCATAGTGTGGCAGAGCATTTCAGCATCAGCTTCTTAGGGACTTGGTCTCTAACTAGATTGGATGGCTCTGTAGTTTGCTGGGTTTTTAATTACTTTGATGTAATTTAGAGGAAATGGGTAGTGAATGGCCATATGGCATAGTAATAACAAGGGTGTTTATGGGTTTAATAAAATAATGTGAACCAGAAAATTAACTGCATGAAAGAGACCATGCAGTGGTCCCATAGTTAACACAGCCTTATCCTCATAGGATCAAGAAATGAATAGTCTTCAGAACTGGGCTAAACGTGTTCTTGAGCTTGAAGAAACAGTGTCTTCCCTGCAAAAAGAGCTTGAAGAACAGAAGAATTTCTTTTCAGAGGAGTTAAAACAGCAGAAATCCAGGAGAGGTTTGCTGGCTAACCTGAAATCCACAGTAGCATCCACTGCTAGTACACCTCTTGGTAAAGGCTGGGGGAAGTATGAAGAGCCTTCACCCTATTCAAGAAAACAAGAACTGTTGCCACATAAAGCAAAATAATAATATTTGAGAAACCAAAGTGTGCAATTACTAGGCTTCTTTATTAGCTACCAAACTGTTGGTAGCCCTTTCTTACTCTTAGATGCCATCTTCACTGTCATCTTCATGTTGACTGAGAAAAATGTTTAATACAGAACTTTTTAAATTGAATCAGGCTTGAATTTAGATCTATAAAAGTTTGAGTCTAGACATGTGCTTTTACTGTTGATATAGGGATGTGATTTGAGAAATATATGTATATTTTAATTCTGGAGTAACTGCTATCGTGGTCTCCTGTACTGATAAATGTGTGGTTCATGCAAAGTGGAATGTCCCTCATCTGCTGTTTGTTATGTTTATAAGTTATTTTATATCATTGTCAATTCCTAGAAATCACATGGCTTGCAAACTTAATCCTAAGTAGTTAAAATAGCATGGTTCTTCAGTTAATCTGGTTTTGACCTGGAGACTCCCTTCTTGGGACCAAACTAAGTAAGCTGCTAAAGAAGCTGATGAAATGAAATCTGATCTGGCTCCTTGCTATTTTTCAGCTAACTTGGCTTTGTAAAGAAATTTGTTTTAATAAAATTTGAATTTCCACTAGGAATATGTATTAAATTTTGAAACATGTATTTAATAAAGTTTTCCATTGCTAAATTCAGCTGACTCTTCATTTTATCAATCGGCAAAACCAAGATAAGAAAAGATCATGAAGTTAGAGCCCAAATAATGACAGTGATTGGTATAGGATGATCTTGATTTGAAAGAATCATATCTTTGATTATATTACTTACATTTTATCTAGCAGTTTAAGGATGGAAGACTGGAGCATGATAAAATTTGAAGCAGTTTTCCTAGAGTCCTTTCCAGTCAGTGAAGGTGAGGGGATTTTTAACTACTGTGGAAGTACAATGCCTGTAATTACTGGAGGCTTGCTGTGGAATCTCTAAGTAAATTGGATTGATCAGTGCCTGGAAGGGAGTTTCTCACAGTGGAAGGGACAGAGTTCAAAGCAAGAACCTCACCCTCCCAGGGGAGACAGTAGGTGGTGCAGCCTTCCCGTGTGACAGGACAGCCCTGCTCCGCTGTGACTCCTCTTGCCAGGCTGCTGAGAGTTTTGGGTTGGTCTGTGATCAGTAATCACTCTGACATCTGTTTAATGAGGCTGTAGAGGCTGAACTCCAGCCACTTCTTGTCTCATGTTTTGAACCGTTTCTGTTAAATACAGTGTTATCTGGTTTTAGTAGTTCTGAAGGTCTATAATCCCTGCAAGGTAGAATTTCTAAAATATTTGTCTACTCCCACATAAACTATTCCAGCTATTAAAAAATATTTTGGTGTAGTTATATGAGACACTGAATGTTGATCTCTTGAATAAGAGAGCTGTTACGTACAAATTGCTTTAGGAAAAGCAATTAAAACAGAAGTTAAAAAAATGATCAGAACAGGCTAATACTGGAAAATTTCCATCATACCATTTCAAACTACCTCATGCTACACCTTGGCAGCCTGTCTAGCAATTTTATGTAACACTAACTGTAACCTCCTACTCCCTGAGCAACTGCTCTTTCTATGTTCCCTCTTACTTCCCAGAGCTCTTTGGTTGGCTACAGGAAATAGTTTGAAAGACAAAGTTACATTATCTTGAGCTTTTTTTTTTTCTCTTTTTTTTTAGTCTTAAAATAAAATGAAGCCTCTATGGCCTGTGCTGAACTGTTAAAGTTTTCCCAAAAGTTGTGAAACTTTTGCACAATGTAGCTATTATGTTCAAGGCTTTTGAGAAGCTGTTTTCAAGAATAGTTGTGGGTTGGTTCTTCTCTTCAATGCCTCCAGGATAATAAGAAACTACAAGAAGAATGCAAAAATGGTGGGTTTGGTCTTTTTCAGTTTCTCAAAGGTGTAAGGAGAGCAGAGTCCATTAATCTTGGTAGTGGTGATAATCAGAGATTCCCCTGTTCCACATGAAGCTACCACTGGATAGAACATCAGCCATTTGTTTTATCTCAAATCACTACCATACTACTAGCTTCAGATTAAGTGTTTATTAAAATTAAAAATCACCATACAATAGAAACTATTTACATATTTAACTGATAGTCTGTTTAAACTGCACAGTTGGACTGAAGGAAGCCCCTGGAAAAGGAAAGCCATGAATACTTCTGCTGCTGAGCTTCAACTGCAGGCACACTGAAGCTTTCTCAGAAAAGTTTTAAGCTTCTGCAAAGTACCATTTGCCTAAATAATTGGGCTGAAGGATGGCAAAGATGTGTACTGGGTTTCAGTTTTAAGAACCAGTGTCACTTTGAAAAAGAAGTAATCTATGCTGGGCTGTGCTTACATTGCAAGTGCACTAGCTCAACTCTTTGGGTAAGTAATTTGATAGAACAATTCAATAGAGAGCACAGCAACTTGCCTTTTAAGAATTAGATTTGTAATACTAAGCAACAAATGACAGTGTCACTGCAATATAACTTGATATCTTATTGCATGTTTCCACAAATTGTTTTTGATAGTGCTAGAGCTAGTTTTAGCTTTCAAACAGATTTGAGGTTAGTTGATTAAAGCAGCAAAAATATAAGGAATATTCTTGAATAACCACAGAGGATTAAAAATTAAGATTAAAATATTTTCACTGGTAACATTTTCAGTGACTGCAATGAAGGTATTAACTTCCTTCAAAATCCTGTGCTTTTCCATGGACTTCAAATGATGACTTTGGCCTTGTGGGAAGCTGAAGCTTGAACAGAGAGTGAGGTGTGCTGCTGTGTCTGCAGTCATGTGTGTTCGTCTTGCACTTCTGCATCTGATGGTTCCATAATGCTTTGAAAAGTTTTTAAATTTAGGGAACTTTTTTCAGTGTAAAGAATTGCATACATTACATAACTCTTCCTCCAAGGAAACCTTCACATTGTTTAGAAAGTCTTACAAGAGGTGATAGTATGCCTGATACTAATGTGAAATAACAAGGATAGAAAAAATAATTTTTGCAATATGCTGTATTCCAAAAAAGATGATTTAAGAACATCACCATGTCTTAAATCTGTAAGTTCTCCTTTGTGACTTTTTGTTTTGAAAACAGCTGTTCATGCATCCTCCCAACCCTTTTATCACGGTCTCCTTGTAACACATTGCATGACTTAGATCCTAAGAAAGTCTTGTCAAACTGTACCAGGGCATGATTGCTTTCCTTCCTTTGCCCTCTCCACCCCAAAAAGCCTGCTTGCTTTGGGGTGTATCTACAGATGCAAACCACAGAGCCTTTAAGGAGAACTTGAAGCTTTAGAGGAACTGTTTCAACTAAATAAAACCATTATTTCTCTGCAGAATTATTCTTCAGCATTTCAGCTTCCACACTCAGTTAAGACATCTGAATGCGTGAAGTAACTGGTTTGAGCAGTCTCTTCTAAAGACAGTCTGTGCCAATGATCTGTGGCAATAGAAAAAGTGTTCTTTGCTCTATGGCTGTTGTTGATACTGCCCTTCTGTTGCTGTGTAGAAGTCATCAAGCACACTCTGTAGGTAATCAAAGGTTGGCCTCTCTTCTGCTTTGTCTTTCCAGCATGTTTTCATGATATCATAAAGCTCAGCTGGGCAGGTTTCCATGCGTGGCATTCGGTACCCACGCTGAAGAGCAACCATCACATCAGAATTGCTCATACCTTAGGGAAAAAAAAAAAAGATTTAATGAAATTATCTCCATTCCTAGAGAAGTTTAGAGAAGTTTTTTTTTTCTTTTTTTTTTACTTCACTCCAAAGAGCTCCACCCACTAGTATAATACCTTTGCTACTTATTAAAGGTAGCTCCTAGCATGAGTTCAATAAACAAGGTCAAGGCGTGCACCTCGATGGTGTGCACCAAGCAATGAGGGACTTGCTCTGAAAATCCTGGTGGGAACATTTCCATTTCTGCAGCTGAGCACCACAACCTCCTTAGTGCCAAGTCTAACAAGACTGTGGGAAAAATCACAATTCTTGTCTCCAGAACCATCTCTGTTCCGTTCTCCTGACCAGTCCTGTTCTCATTTACTCTGCTTCCCATGGTGTTGTGATTTCCAGCAAAAGCCTGCCCTGGCACCAGCCTTCATCTCTAGCTGCAGAGCTGCTGCTCTGCTTGCTGGAGACCCATCCATCCTGAGATGGAGAGCAGCCTCCCTGTTTGACCACACTGCCAGTCAGCCTGCCCAAAACTTTCAGGATTTCTTCTACATCAGCTTGTGTGTAAATGCTGCTGATTGCAAGATACTGGACAGTCACTCATGAAATCATTAATTGTAATAGGCAATTTCCCCTCTTGTCCTACTCCTGTCATGCAAAACCATCTTGCCAGCTGTGCTAAGCTTTGCATTTTTCCCTGCTATGGTTTTCTTCCAGAGGACAAGAACTGTAATTACCAGCAGTGCATCCTGTGTCTGATATGCTAATGTCACATGAGAGAGTCCTGCCCTAGACTCCATCCTTCTCCCCCTTTTTTAAATTTCCTGTCACCCTTCCCCCCTTTATCAAACTCTTGAGAAACTGGTTCACAGAACAATTTCAACACCTACTCTCAGAAGGTCAGCTATGCTAGGGCCAGCTTTTGCTATTTTAGGCTCACCACTTCCTACCCAGAAATCTGCCTTTGGGCTTGTCCCTTCCTCTGCAAATCTAATCATCCCAGTGGTTGCATTACCTTCTCTGGCACAGACTCTTTTCTTTACTCAGTGACTGCTGTTTGTTCTGATGGCTGGGCATGCAGGAAGCACCTGTGCTTCAGCCTAGGGATTTATGCTCACCAGAGGAGGCTTTTCCTTTTGAGAAGGGTATCCCAGACCTCTCAACCACTGGCCACAAATCAGGATAAATGCTCCATGTGGCGCAGTTCTGCCCAAGACTACAGTTCCTCCAGGTTTTCTCAGGCCATTCAGCCTCTGGTCAGGTCCATGCAGGACACACCAGCTCCCCAGCACACACCAGCTCCCCAGAGGTGCAGGGAGAGCAGCTCTGCTCAGCTGAGAGGAGGGGAGATGGGTCCTGCTCTGAGCAGGGTCGAAAGTGGAGATGCAGATGTGGTGTTCCCCCAAATCCTTGCTGCAGCTCTGCTGCTGCAGGCTCTGCAGACCTCTGCACGCATTATCTGACTGCTGTGGCTGTGGGTTGAGCCACTTGGCAGGTGAGGACACATTTGAATTACAACCAAATGACAGCTTTATCCAGTATAACTACTTGGATTATTCAAGATGACCATAGTTCATATAGTTGACTTCAGCTCAAGCTTGTTGGCTTCAAGCTTTTCCAAAAATACCCTCAGCCATGTAATCTGAGTCTGGATCAAAGTGCTTACTTTGGGCACATCTTTTGTATTTTCAGTTCCTCTGTGGAAGGAGAAGGGAAGTTTTCCTGAACTAACACTGCCCATATGCAGAAAAGAAGTGTTTCAAAGTAGGGGAAGGGAATGTTGTCACAGAATGAGGAATTACTGCTATATAGAGACAAATTAAATACAGGAAGATAGTCAATAAAGCATTTTATAGAGAACAGTGATTGGACTGCCTGAACTTCAAGAAATGGATTGCATATAATATATGGAGTAAAACAGTTATTCCTACCCTACAAAATCTTAGTTAACTGTGCTGCTACATGAAGACTGCTGCTACTGGGCTCTTGTGCAGAATGGGGATGATTTTTTGGGTTTAAGTACTTAATAGGATTGTGCTTAGATCTGCTGTCTGCAGGACTGATTGTTACATTGTGAATGCTAAGGACAAAGCCTGTGTTTTAGCTACCCTGCAGAAAACTATCTCTTTAATATCCATTTGACTTCAGAAGCAAAAAATTAAAACCTTTTTATAGTAAATATGTCATATACATACTTCCATATGTTTGGGGTTTTATTTAAAACAAAAAGGGTTATCCACAGTGCAAACATTATCCTCAAAATATCTACTTGTTTAACTTTACTTTTTAAAAATTGTTTCAATTTTTTTCTTTTAGTAGCTAAAGAATCACCTGTCTTACCATATCTACATCCTAATCAGCAAAAGAAATATATCCCACATATGTATTTATCACACTCACACCCTCTTGAATGCTAAAGTTTTGGTACACATCCGTTAATTTATGCTGTGGTACATGTTAGGTTTCACAAAGACATATTTCTTTATCTTAGGGCCTGGGAAATGATGTGAACAGAGTGGTATGGAGGAAGAATCCCACTGCACAGAAAGGGTCACACCTTGTGAAGAGTAGCAGGCATAACTGGAATGCAATTATGGATGCTGCCAGTATTGACATACTATGTAATCACCCAGAAATTAGGCTTTAACTACCACTTCAACTTATGTGCCCAGAGAATCAGATACTTGTTTAATATTTCAGAGGTAGTTCCTGAAACTCTAGTTCCTCTAATGGCTTTGAGTTACTCAGGAGGAGAAACAGCTGCTGGAATTTAAGAACAAAGATCACAAAAGCTCTGAATTTCTTGGCTAGAAATGCTTCCTACCAAGTTGAGTACAGGTATTAGCTACTTGCCAATTTCAACTCCAGCTGTTTCATATGCAACTATATGCTGAATACTCTGGTTGCTAGAGCTGGTTAATAATTGAAAATATTGTTTTGAAGCATTCCCACTAGAAGTGAAAATCAATTTACTGTTTCTGTCCAGTTGCTTCTGGTTACAACCTATCACCGGGTTACTATTGCCATGCTGGGGTAATTTGCCCAAATCTGTCACATCTCTTCATGTAAAGTAGATTGGTCACCCATGTATTTTGCTGTGATTCTGCTGCTCAGAATCGACTTTCAGTCTAATAGGCTATTTAAATTTATACTTCCATTTAAAATAGATGTATATCTCTCACCCATTTTAATGCAAGTAATACTTGCAAATATTAAAACAAAATACCTGCAATATTAAAATCTTC